ACCTTGAGTGTTTTGCTTGTCTCTCAGGCTTCTTATCAGGCAGAAATACCACAGGTTTCAATGACTGCCCTGTAATAGTGCCCAAGTTTCAAGGTTATAAAGCTGGGGAGAGGAAATGCAGCATCCAGGTTGGGCCAAGCTGGTAAGGGAGGGAGCAAGGGTGGGAAAAAGAAGAGACTTTTTTTTGCCATTCAGACTCTTTGGGTCCGAAAACTAGGTGTGGAGATGAGGTACCAGAACCTGAGAGCTCACTCAGCTTTGTTTTCGGGTCCAGATTTACCTCTGCAGCAATTATGTAGTGCTTGATAACATGATATTCAGTAGCTTTTGGTGTTATTTCTTTTTCTTTTTTTTTTTTCCTTTTTGTCTTTTTTTTCGTGACCAGTAGTGCTTGATAACATGATATTCAGTAGCTTTTGGTGTTATTTCTTTTTCTTTTTTTTTTTCCTTTTTGTCTTTTTTTTTCGTGACCAGCAACAGATCACAACCCTCAGTGTCGCGCCCGTACCGGACCGGGACCGGCAACGGGATCGCAACCCTAGGTGTTGCGCCCGCACGTCGCTCAGCCAGTGAGCGGCCAGTCTGTATGTGGGATCCGAACCCTCGGCGGGAGCGCCGCCGCACTTCCCAAGCAGCTGCACTGTAGCAGTGCGCCACCGGGCCGGCCCCATGGTGTTATTTCTTTACTCTGGAAATATCTGTTGTTGGTGCAATAAACTGACCTGAAGGTATAAAGTTGAATCAGATAATTTATGGAGTTTAAGGTATGAAGTAGAAAGAGAAGGGTGATCTTAGGGCTTTTAGTATTTAGTGAGGGGTGATCAGTGACCCTTCTTTAGGTACCTGTCCCTCTTGCACCTGGACAGTCCCTGAGATGCCCTCTGGAGGGGAGAGGATCTACAGGCTTCCCTGTATATGTGGGTCTGGATCATCCCCTACTTTCTAATCTGTAAAGTGAAGAAAATGTCGCATCTTGCCTATGTTACCAGGTTATTCTGAATTAGCATATCTGAGAACACTTTTTAAGCTAGAGCATGCTATGTTCTCGTGAAGCGGTGTTACTCCTGTTGTACTGTTTTTCTCTCTGCCAGCTGCTTTAGGCCATCCTAGTTTCTGAAACGGGAGTGTGGTAGACTTCCCTGGGAGCAAAGTAGTAGAAAGAGAAGGGTGATCTTAGGGCTTTTAGTATTTAGTGAGGGGTGATCAGTGACCCTTCTTTAGGTACCTGTCCCTCTTGCACCTGGACAGTCCCTGAGATGCCCTCTGGAGGGGAGAGGATCTACAGGCTTCCCTGTATATGTGGGTCTGGATCATCCCCTACTTTCTAATCTGTAAAGTGAAGAAAATGTCACATCTTGCCTATGTTACCAGGTTATTCTGAATTAGCATATCTGAGAACACTTTTTAAGCTAGAGCATGCTAGGTTCTCGTGAAGCGGTGTTACTCCTGTTGTCCTGTTTTTCTCTCTGCCAGCTGCTTCAGGCCATCCTAGTTTCTGAAACGGGAGTGTGGTAGACTTCCCTGGGAGCAAAGCGAGGCTAGCAAGTCACTGTAAAGTCTGAAGCATACTTGGAAGAACTAGGGTAGTAATTTCCTCTGAAAGATGAAAAAAACTAGACCCTTGGATCTACACTGACTTCTTGAAAGCAATGCCTTTGTCTTATACAGCTTTGTAACCCAGTGCCTTTTAAGTGTTCATAAATGTTAGTTTAACTGAAAAGATTACCCAAATTCAACTGAGCCATATATTCTCTGAGAAATAAAAAATTTAAGGGAAAAGTTACAGTGATAGGTTGGATGCCAGGGAAAAGTCTTCCAACAGCTCAACCAACAGACACTAGAACAGATCACAAGTTTATTCATTCAGCACTTTTTGAGTGCCTTCTGTGTGTCTAGGCTTATGTGTCTTTGCTATAATGCCCTCAACCCTACAGAACGTTAGGAATGGGCTGGTACTCTCTGAACCTGGACAGTCATTAATGGAGTGCATAGCCGAGATGACTGAACATCATCCACATGACGGATGG